GGTGACTCTAAATCCAGTCAAGCCCACGGTGATGACTAAGAAGTCATCCATTTGATCCTGGAACCTCTGTTCCATCCAAAAGGAACCATGGCTCATCTGTCTTGTGTACATTCAGCTCATTTGTGTAGGGATCTTATTTTTGTGTCTGGGGAAACTATGAGCTCCCTGGAGCCCAGGACCAGGCCGTATATAGCTTTTGTCTGTAACAGCGAGTGCCCCTTGTGGTTCTGAAGTCTTAGGAACTATTTAAGTTTATGGAGCTGAACTGAGCTGAACAGAATTAAAGAGAGAGAACAGCAAAACATGGCACCACCAGGCACTGGCTGGGAAAATGGTTGATGGCTTCCAATGTCAAGTGAGTCATCGAAGGACAGGCCCAGGGTGCAGGATGAATTGTGCACGGGTCAGCGCCCATCACAGCAGATATGCAGATTCTGTACTGGGTAGCTCTGGCTCAGGCTGCATAAAGGCTCAGAGAGGAAGAGGTTGGCCTACAGGCTGTCTGGATGAAGGCTCAACACCAGGCAAAAATATAGGTGTGACGGCACATGCCAGCAATCCCAGCATAAGGGAGATGAGGCAGGAAGATCACAGTGAGCTACACAGTGGAACCCTAACAAAAGAAAAGAATTTTTAAGAGTGAAGTAGGAGCACTGTGGTAAATGTTGATGGGGAAACAGGACAGTCCCCTTGTGTGGTTGTGCACATGTGTGTAGGTATATATGCACGTGTGTGATATGGGTGGAGGCCAGGAGTCAACCTCAAGGGTCATTCCTCAAGAGACACATGATGTGTATTCTTGGCTATCAACATGACTTCTTCTGGAATTAACTAAAACCCAAACAGCTGGGCACACCTGTGAGGAGTTTTTCTTAATCTAATCATCTGAAGTGGGAAGACCCACGTTTAATCCCAACCTTTTGAAGTAGGAAGGTCCACCTTTAACCCGGGCCACACCCTCTGCTGGCAGCCTATACAAATGACATGAAAGAGGACACTTGCTTTCTTTCCCTGCTTGCTCTTGCTCTTACTGTCAAGTCCATTCCTTTACTGGCACTAGAGCCTACTTTTGGGGGGTTCCAGTACATACTGAAGACCAACTGAAATATACAGCCTTTTAGACTGAACAACTATTGGGTTCTTGGATCTTCTATTGGTAGGCAGCCATTATTGGACTAACTGGAACACAGCCTGTAAACAATTCTAATAAATCCCGTGTGTGTGTGTGTGTGTGTGTGTGTGTGTGTGTGTGTGTGTGTGTGGTGTGTGTGTGTGTGTGTTTTGCAGGATCACACTGTGAACTCGTAGATTTCAGTGTGGCTCAATCTTAGCACACACCTTTAATCTAAGACCTTTCTGCTTGAATATTGTAAACAAGATTTAATAAAGTCAACCATAGGTCAAGAGGTGGAGCAAGCAATCAGTAGACAAAGAAGTGAACATAGTATTATTAATAAAAAAAAAATGGAGAGGAAGAGGAAGTCAGGAGCTGGAGAGGGGCATTCCTTCTGGGACATCAGCTGAGAAGAAAGCTCAGCTGGGTGCTTTCTCTGCCTCTCTGAGCTAGGAGGCTTTCACCCCATCATCTGGCTCCTGAGTCTTGGTAAACCAAATGATTGAGATTTTTGTTAAAAACATCTGTGTGTTCATTCTATCTGTTATTTTTCTATGAGAACACTGACTAATACAGGCCATCCACCATTTTTTGAGACAGGGTCTCTCCCTGGCCTGGAGCTTGCCAAGTCGCTGGTGAGTCACAAGGATCCACCTGTGTCTGCTCTTCATTGCTGGGGTTACATACATGGTCAGTTTTTTTCCTTTCCCTTTTCCCCATGGATTCTGGGATCAAACTTGGGTCCTCTGGCTTGCAAGGCCAGCCCTCCACCAACTGAAACATGTTGCAAGCTTACTGTGAATTACAAAAGGAGCCTCCTATAGATCAGGCAGAATGGGTGGAGGAGTTCGTGGTGGCCAGGAGTACATGGAGTGTTCATCCGAGTCACATTGCTTGCCCAGGCTGCCACAGCCACATAATGGGGCTCAACCAACTGTGAGGACACCCTAGTACCAGAAGCTCTCGAGGCCAGGAGCCAAAGACAGGAGTGTCAGCATGGCTGCTTTCTCTGAAGCCTCTCTTCTAGATGTCCCCACTGCTTCACACACTCCTCTCCCAGCGTACATGCCCTGCTACGACACCAGTCACAAGGCACAGGGAACCATGCTACCTGAGTGGCAGCATCATGTCACTCAAAGTCTCTTCAGAGTCTCCAGATCTGGAGGTACCAGTGCCCCACTTCAGCACAGGACTTTAGAGGGGGCACAGTTTGGCCCAGCCCACCCAGTCATGTCTTCCTCTGAAATTCCTGGTAGGAGTTGTCAAAATGCTCTCCATCCCACAATCTTGTGTGGGCTAGTGTGGCTGGACATTGGTTACCATGAAGGTGAGTATCCCTAAAGTCCACTAGCCAGAACAGCACACAGCCCTGAGGGGTCCCCACCCACTACTCAAGCAGTACTGCTCTGGACCCCTTGTCACATTCTCTCAGGGTGCTCCACAGCGCTCCCTGTGTGAGTACAGAATAGGTGGAGAGCTTTCTAGAAGAAACGAGGTTTCATCTGTTGACATGGAACAAGACTTCTGGCTCAAAGACTGAATGGCAGCTAACTGGCTGTGGTGACACACACTGTGATCCCAGAGATGGGAGGCAGAAGGTTCAGAAGTTGAAGGCTGTCCATAGCTACATAGGGGACTCAAGCTGTTCTGGGATACATGAGACTCTGTCTTTTAAATTTAAAAAGGAAAGAAAGAGGAGAGGGGAGGGGAGGGGAGGAGAGGGAAGGAGAGGAGAGGGGAGGAGAGGGGAGGGGAGGAGAGGGGAGGGGAG